ATCTTCCCAAGCATAATATTTTATAACTCGAATTCCTTGTAAAATGTCTTGGATCCGCTTAACACGTTCATCGGTAACCTTTATTGCTTTACTACGTGTGGATGCCAATGCCGACATTACTCTCCCTTGCAATGGTCCAGTAATGACTAAAAAACTAAAACCTGCTAATGCAGATGGGCCAATGTTAAATATCAACAATGCGAGCGCTATTGATAGTTGAAGCGGGGAGCTCCATAATAAATGAAAATAGGAACAAAAAAAGTCAAGTCTAGTTGTATCAGTTGATATTAGATTTGTAATTTTGCCAATTGTAAATGAATTACGAGCTTTACAACTGAGAATCATAGCTTTGCGATAAATGGTAGTAATTAGAATTGTACGCGTCATGAAACCGGTTTGATCAGTTCCCCAAAGGCACCAAATACTGAGGAAAGTTGATCCCATTTGCATAAGAAACAATATCGTCGCGAGGATGAATCCATCAGATATTGGAGGTGCTTCTGTATTATTAACACTAGCATTGAATGAGATCACCGAGAATGTCAAAATTTCCTATGTATGGCATTAAAATAATAAAATGCCTGTTAACACTTGATTTCTCATCACGTGACACGTAGCATCACTTGCAATAATACAGTAATAGTGTAGTTCTACAAATCAGACATTCTATTAAAGAATGATAAAATAAAGTGCTAAAAGTACCTGGATTACCAAAGGCGACAAGACCTGTAAAGTATCACCAAAAAATCTAGCGACTCCTGCACACCAAAACCTAAACCCAAGCATCCTATTTAAAGCTTTTATCAATGATGGTTTCTTTCCTTTCTTAACCTTTTCAACTTCCTTTTTCCACTCAAGTGCAAACTCTTCTGCCAAATGCTTTGACAATCTTTTATCATCTAAAATATATAAATCTTCTTTTTGCAATGGCCTCTCATATCCAAGTCGTAAAATCGCTGATGGCCAATGAAATATTAGCTTGGAAAAGAAATTTGCATTTGCTTCTGGTATGATTGTTTCGCAGTTTGGTGGTCGTGATTTTTCTTCAGGTGATTTTCCAAAGACCATATTATTATTATTATTATGATAATTATTAAAATACGATGGCAATTATAGGCATAAATTCATATGTGCAGACGAGAATAATAAGGCTACTAGTCACAATGTCAGTAATTAATCTTTTAAAAAAGTATAAGTTTTATTGTCTAAAGAAATTTGAATATGGTTGTGTTGGAATATTGTAAAGAGTTTTAACATTCGAACCTATTTTTTGTTTTTGTTGGTACCCGAAAAATAAAAAATAACTTTGATCTCTTTCAATGTGCCCAAACAAAATATGCCTAAGCCTGGTTTTTTCATTGGAACATCTAAATTGTGACAACTTTGTTGGCATAAACATAACGAAGAAAATAATTATTGGGAAATAATACGACAAGTTAAAAGTATCCACTCGTAATTTTCGAGCGAAACTTGCGATCAAATGTGGCTTGGTAAATAATATTTGAGAATTGTGTCTTTTTTTGGTTCGATTTAGGTAATTGTTATTCTGAGTGAGTATGTATCAGCCACAACAATAATAAGTTTTTCGAGAATAGTGGCGCGTGGCACCTTAAAAATGGTATTTTACACGTAAATTAAAGAACTTTAATTATTTGTATGACACTGGTTGGAAGAAAATAAATTTTCTTCGTTCTTTTAATTTTTTTTTAAAACTAACCACATAAGAAAAAAATTTTGCAACGTATTTATCGTTAGTTCGTTTAAACTGGCAGTTTGCCAACGAATAACATGAATGTTCAATTCTTTCAAAGGTTTACTTTGGTCGTTTCTACTACATGATCTAAAATTGGAGTTATAAATTTATACACAATTAACCAATCAAAAGATATAATTTCGAGATTAATCCCGTCTATTGGTTAAGGTCTGGATTATCGGGCCATTAAAAATAAATCAATAAGAACCAAGAAGTTAATTCATGGCATCATCACTAAGTTATGATTTATTCAAAATTCAATACTATTTTACAATTAATATGTAATATAAAATTTACTTTTATAATATATTTAATTAAATTCATTCGTATTATATACAGTATAACTTATAAATTGAATTGTTAATTTATCAATACAATAATTTTATCTATTATATATGTTGTGCCTCAGACAAAAAAAAATTATATGTAAAGAAATTATTGAAAATTGAACGTGCTGAAAAACCTAGACGGGAAGAATATGCTGCGAAAATTTATGCAAAAAAAAAACTATATATAATAAATTCTTGAGAGATAATCAAGACAATACCAACATCTCATAATTAAACTTATTAGACAGAACCAATATCCTATTGTACTAAAGATCATGCTGTGAGTTTTTAATTTGATACTTAGCTAATATAATAATCTGTATCTAAATATTTAAAAAATATACAAGTTAAACAAAGCTTTATTAGAATATAAATAGCTAAATAAATATCAAAAAGAGAATTTCTATTTGTACCCGGTGGGTATGATACCCGGTATAAGAAAAAAATCAAAATCGTTAATATCTCAAAATTTTACTAAGAAAACCATATGTATGCATCTTAAGTAAAATTGTTCAGCGTCTAATTTTACATATAACCGCACATGTTTTTAAATTTAATCCTAACCTTAATATATATAGGGCACTATATAAACATTATACCGGGTATCATACCCTCCGGGTACAAGTATTAAATTTCTATCAAAAATATATCAGAAACTAATATTTCTCTAATATTAATAAAAATTAAAAAATACCAAAATATTAAATATTTTTATTAGATTATCAATAGCAATATCAGAATAAATTCAATGTTAGTTATTTGATTAAACTTTTTTTGATGATCTTCTGATCAACAATTCCAAAAAACTAAATTACCAAAAAATATTATAAAAGATACCAAAAGTAGATAATATATTTGGTTTTATACAAGTAGATATATTGCTAACAAAATAACAAGAGTATAAAACTGAAAGCAGACTACTTTGTCAGTTTTTGTAGAGGTCAAATTTTGATAAGATGGATTTTTCTATTATATTCAATATTCAAACTAAAAAGATATTTTAAAAATACAAAATAATTAAGTTAATATTAAAAAATATTTAAACTTTGAATTATCTTTATATAACTATAAAACTTATAAAAAAAAACCTACAAAGTCTTATTAACCCATCATTTTTTTTGAGAAAATTTTATTAAAAAGTGTGTTAAAATATCATTATATATTTGAAAAATATATCTAGTTATATTTGCATCTTTTAAATATCTATTTAAATAGTTTGTCTATTTTTAAATTTTATATTATTTGTTATATCTGCAACCTAACTAGAAGGTTATCTATTTAAACTCTTTGCACCTATATACTTCAAGGTCTATATCAATCAGCAATCATTCTTTTAGTTCTAAAAACTGGTTTTCCTAGTACATGTCTTATATACTAATTTAGGATTACTTTATCCTCAAGATAAATTTAGCAGAGCCTGCAGTATTTCTACTTTATATCATACCTAGCCTGCATTTTAGTTTGATATATATAGACTGTAGCTCACTACTTGTAGTTCAATTTCTATTTTAGAAGTATATAGTATCAAATCAAGGTCCTTGCTTATGGTTTTTTCCCAGTTTTAAACTTTTTTTTGCTTTCTATCTACAATTTAACTCTAGTTTGGCTAAACTCTGCTACCAAACCTACTTCTGCCCTTATAGAGTTCACTCAAATCCCAAACTTACTTTACAATATATCTCTAGTACTTTAGTAATCTAGCTTCCCTTATCTAGACTTCTAATTTAGATAGCCCAGTATATATTACTTATTTCTTCCAATTTGACAATAGCGTAGGGGAGTAGCACTTATTACGTAATATCAAGAGGAGAAAAGAGGTCAGAGAGATCTTACGTAGTATATAATATATATATATACTATATTGATTTTGATTGGCTAATAAATCTGATGTGGGAAAGAGGGGGATAGCTCTCTAATAAAATAATATTACATAATAAGTGCGACTGCCCTTAGTTGATATTGTAATTTTATCTATTTATCTAATAGCAGAAGCTTCAACTCTAGTTCTTATACTTTCAAGCTAGATGGTCTAGTAACTGTGTACTTTTCTTTGTATCTAGACAAGTACTCTCAAAGGGTGGCTAATAAGTCTTTTACTATTGCTATGATAGACCTGCAATTGCAAGGTCTCTCTAGCTAAATTTCTGATTCTTTTTCTTATTTGTAGTAGTCTGATTGGTGTAGATATATCTCAATACCTATATTTCGTCTAGTTTAGTTTATATAGATTCTGTTTTTTGGGTCTAACCTTTATAGTAGCTCTGTCAAAGATCTGTACTACTCTTTATTTATGACTTGCTAAGTGAGATTTTATATTTGTAGTTTTTTGAATTTACATAGCCCAGAAACTTATTTTGTGTTTACACTGTCTATTATTAGTTTGTATCCTTTTATATAATATTACTATTACATAAATATCTCAGACCTTTCAGTCTTGCTAGTATGATCATAGTTACAGATATCCTATTCTAACTAATTGCTAAATACAGTTAACTATAATACAAATAAAATTTTTGAATTTTTATCACCAGTAAGATTCAAACTCTTGACTTGCCACTTGGAGATGACAATATGACTACTTTGCTATATTACTATACCCCATTTGAATTTTTTTTTGTTTCAATATATTATACTAATTACTATTATATTTTTTTTCTTTAATAATAGTTTTAGATTATTCTTCTTATTAAGAGATAAAATAGAATTACTTGTTAAGAAAAAAATTAGATTTAGATTATTATTTTAAAATTAGTATAAAAAGAGAAATTTGCCAATTTGATGTAGTTAAAAATTTTTTTGATTCAAAACTATTTCATTATAGTTTTGCTAGCTAGCTTGATATAACCCCCAGAGTAGGTAATAGCCTTAACTGGTGAAGTAGACTACACTTGGGTATCCACAGAGAAAGCCAAGTGATGTATCTGTAGTTTAGATAGTAAATAATATCCTACATTAGCTTTGATCTAATAAAGATATTGGCGAGGCTACCAATACATTAAAAAAAAAAATAGTTTTAGATTATTATCTTCATTAGTATTGCTATTACTAAATTCTTTATTTAGAGTTAGTATCTTTGTTATCATTAGAATTGGTATTGTAATTTTAGCTTCATTATTGATATTTTGTAAATTGTGTATCATTATTGTTGCTAGATATTAGTAGAAATTTGTATCATAATCAGATATGTCAATTCTTGTATATTGGTAATGCTAGTCTTAATTAAAGAAACTATCCCTGATGCTTTTAGTTTTGTTGCTAACATATTATTATATGATTATAGTAATTGTCTGGAGTGAAGCGGAAGACCTATACTTCTGCGTTCTTTAATAACCAAAATTTCTTTTTTGATTCATTTATATTAAAAATATCAAAAAAGTAGTTTTGGTATTTTCTGTTTGTCACTTTTGTTTTTATATAGTAAAGTTAAAATTTTATTAAGTAAATCGATTTTGTCTATTAAGTAAAAATTATTTAGAAGATCAAAATATATATATCTTGAAATTATTATATAATTTGGTTAATTTTTTATTAATATATTTTTGCAATTTATATTAAAAAAATCAATTAAAATTTTTTCTAAATTTTTATTTAATAACAATAAAAATTAAATATCACTAATAAAAATTATTATAATTATATAAAAATTTTAAGATATATGTAATTTGATCTCATAAACAATTTTCACTTAATAGACATAATCGATTTACTTAGTAAAATTGTGACTTTACTATATAGGATATATTATAAATTAATTAAAAAACATTTTTTTATTTTAATTATTTATAAAAAATAATTTATTTTTAGAAATATATAATATTTATGCTCCAGACTTATACTGGTTTTCAGTACCTAGTATTAGGTTTAGTTTAAGAAGTTAAAATGAGTTTTGTTTGTTTATAAATTTGTTACTAACAGGTATTCTTTTTTTTCTAGAATATTTATAAAAATTATAGAGATTTGTTTTGATATTCAGAATATATATTCTTTTTATTTGTTTTTGGTATTATTTTTTTGATTCATGAATACATTACTAATATT